TACACTCCAACAGCTGTTTCACAATAAAAACAGTATGAAAATCAAAGCAGGGGGGGGGGTGATTAGGAACAGGCAAAGACTCACTATCAAAACAGAAAATGTCCTATTGCTATACTGCGTTTTCACTGAACATGTACACTGTTCGACTGCAATCAAATTTTTCACTAAACTAGAAGCACAGACCATTTTTCTGCTTTCAGAACTCAGCTTTTCACAGAAAAAAAAAAAGAATAACTAAACCCAGGATATTGAAGGAACAAATACGTGAAGACATGAAGTCATGGATTATGTGGTATAAGGTGAGGAGTCTTGTTTCCTGTCTGACTGTACAGAAGACTAATAGTAACTGCATGCACCTAAAGATCAAATTCACTGTCTTTTTCAGGGTTTTTAACTGCTTTTATACGTGATCGTATCAGTAAGTAGCTCTTGTCTAACGAGATTTTTTCTCCAAAATATGTTGGTACAAAAACCAGCGGTGGTGGTAGGGGGCAGCTTTTTCCTTCTTGAATACAGACATGACTCTCTAATCCTGGGATTCCTTTGCCTGCTGTTCAGTGAAACTTTGCACTGCTACAGAGGGAACTAGCAAAAGTAGAAAATAGCATTACCGATTTCTTCCTGATGTTGTCCCAGGTACCTTTGCTGCCCTGGGTGTTCTTCTGCATTCTGAACACGTGCCTGTCGTAATCGTTCCTGTAAACGTAAGTTACCGTTACCAGTGTGGCTTGCTTAGGGAATCTGTTCGATAAAATTACAGCCATTATGCATACAGATCTAATTCAGGAAGAAAATTAGCATGGTCATTAAGAACCACTGATGCTCAATTAACAAATATAATAATACTTTTGGAAAAATACCCCAGAGAAGTGTTCGATTAGAGCACATGCTATAATTCTTAATGCAAGTATCGGAGAAAAAGTTTTATCCTAAAATACGTTAATTCCTTGCACATTGGATAAAGTAACATTTATTTCTCGCTAAAGATTCAAGTTTGTTTCAATAATGCCTGAAACAACTGAGTTCAGCAAATCAGCAGGTTTAATACTCAAAATGAGCAGATAAAGCCATGCTTAAAGCCCAAATCATCGTCCTCTCTGAGCGTAAAAGAACACGTAATTGATGATTTTTTGGATGTTCACACTTAGCTGAGTAGCTCAGATTGTACGCTGTTGAATGGAAGAGCTTTCTCTAAACAAATACTTGAGCAACTGCAGGATTTACTATGCATGCTCTAAGCCTGGAGGTAAACCAGCATCTCACTTCCAAAAGTAACTACACCTTCCTCGGAAAAAGACAAAAAACCTCAGAGAAAATGAGAAAGGAAAATACTAGCATATTTGTATTAACGTGACCGGATTTCAGACACAAAAAGCAACTGATTTTAAATCTTTCAAATGCTGAATTTTTGTTTAAAACACTTTAGAATTCACCCATACTCCTTCCTGTGTCATCGCTCTAATTCAGAATTTTATTTTCAACATCTTCACTTCATTATAGTCCAAATAAACTTCCATCCATATCTTAAGTTAACGATTTAGCTCTCCTTTTCCCAGGTCATGATCAGTAAGAGATCTTAAGCTTGGAAGTTAAGCTTGCATGCCCAGTAATTTTAATTCATCTGATCAGAAGAGGAAAGCAGTTGCAAAGTTTTTGAACTAATACCTGCCAGTAGAATGCATATGAAAGAGGAAGAAATAGAAGAATGCAAGAAAATATGCATGAAAAAAATGGCTTCTTGCTACAGTTTTACAAAAATTAGTTAGATTCCTTTTGGAAGGATGGCTAACCAGGAGGCTAGAAAGGAACAGCAGTATGGAGATGGAGTTCCTACCTGTTGATAGATCCCAGCATACCAGGGCTGATATGCTCACACTGAGGGGTTTTCACCAGAGGGAAGACAGCTGAGGAAGGCGTGACTGGGTTGTTGTCTGCAAGTGCAAAGTCGTCGTCGTCGTCGTCCTGGCTTCCCCGGAACGTTGGCAACTATAAAGCCACATCAGAGCAATCAATAACTTGTGCTTTTAGCAAAAATCTGCTTAAGAGACTTCTTATGGTTCTGTCTCTGACTGTATTCCTCTTCCCCAGCTTTCTCTTCTCTAAAGTGAGGAGTCCCAGACGTCTCCTCATTCAGCTAGTCCGTTCCCTGGACTTCAGTTGCCTTTTTTTTTTTTTTTTTTTTTTTGGACTCCACTATCGCCCGCGGAGGTGCAGAGACCAGACCTGCACACAGTACTCAGAATGCAGGTACGCAAGGACCTCTGAGCAGCCAAATGATGCCTCTGCCTTGTTCTTAATGCTCTTCTTGTTGATGCCCAACATTTTGCTGGCCTTTTCTGGCTGCTACTACATGTTCAGAAAATAATTTCAGATTAAAATTACAGGCTCCCATTACTAATCAGGAAGAAGATTTCAGGGTTATGCAGTGAACTTCTGGCCTTTTCATTTTGAAAAGGTACAGAAGAACTGGAAAGGCTCAAAGAGGAAAAGCAACATAGATGATCAAAAGTACAGAATGACTTCTGCAAAAGAAACAGGACAATGGGCCCTGGGGGAAAGAGGGGGCTAACTGGCATCAAGGGTGACCAGGGATCAGGAGAGTTTTTCACCGTCTCTTCCATACGAGAAGAGAAGGACTCAGAGTTAGCAGATGGCAAGTTCAGAACAAAGAGATGACGACGTTTCTTCACGCAACAGATAATGGAATCTGGAATCTGCCACAGGAGACTGCAGATGCCAAAAGTCTACACGGGCTCACAGAGGGGCTGGACTAGTTCATCAAACAGGAATTTCCTCATGACTTCTAAATACACAGTTTCCCTCTGGAGGGCTCTCTCTTTTTCACAGAAGGAGCCTAGCTATTTTTGCACAGATCAAGCCAGGCAAACTGAATTTGAACCCAGGGGGCCGGGGGAACAGAGAATTTTCAGATGACTGAAATTGTGTTCCCACAGCAGAGGAGTCTCCTGGAGAATCCCTCTGCAAAACCACGACGTCTGGGACATGGATGCCGTTCTTTTGTAGCCAATCCACATGTATTGGTTATAGGGACTTTTCTGTAGCACACTAGAGCCTATAGCAAGCAATCAAGCTACCACTGTTTAAATTAATTAGCACTTTTCAATGCTGTATTGCTATATTTCTGGATGCATGCCAGAATAAGAAATGCACTGTTGTTGCACAAAAACACACACATCAAAAACCAGACAGATGCTGATTCGACTCCCTACCAGGGCTGATGCTCTGTTGTTAATAGGCAGAGTTAGTCTGACCAGGTAACAGAAAAAAGATAGACAGATCATGAAATACACTTAAAAGAAAAAGTCTCAACAAGAAAAAAAAATCATTCTCTTGATAAATGAGTAGCTTTCTCTTTAAAAAGAGTGTTACCTAACATATCGAGTGCATAATTCTGCTTCACCACAATTAACTGCAGGTTTATGATAAAGTATAGCTAGATATGATAAAGCTTCTCAGTTACAGTGCTGTATCTGCTGAGCGTGTTTGGGGGCTGCACATGGAACAGGAGGGGAGGGGGGGGCTCTGCCTGGTCTTGATGACCGAAAAAGAGAAAAGGTTGAACCTGACCAAGAAACAGGGCAGCCCTTGGCAAAAGCCTTTTCAAGCCAAGCAGTCAAAAAAAAAAAAACCCAGGAGAGTCAGTAAATAAACAACATGCAAGGTGCAGAGTGAGAGGGCAGCAGCACTCCCAAAGAAACTCTCTCCCACCTAGACATCAAGACTGTGTTTAAATTTGAAGCCTGTTAAAGGGGGAGAAAAAGAAAAGGCCTGTTTATGTATCAGCATGACTTTGAAAAGTATCTAGTTCCACAGCCTAAGTATCCAATAATCACCCCCAAAACTAGTCATACCACTCTGCATAACCAATACTTCAAGGCATCACAAAGTTCCTCCTGCTCTCAGCGAGACAGAAAGGGCGCCCCTACCACAGACTCTTTCCTACAAATCCATTAGGCAGTGATACTTGTCTGCAGCAGTCATCTTCCACACGTTCTCACCGCCAGCAATCAAAATTATTGCAATAACTGATCAAGGAAATAGGCCTCTTCTTCCAAAAATCACAAGAAAAAAAATCCTAAAATTTTATTCATGGAACTGAACCAGCAGACTTTTATGATGCAGTGCTTACATTGAAATAACAATCAAAAAAGCATGTGCATATATACGCTGTTTTCCCAGATTTACCTTTACTCTTCTATTTTGAAAGGGAGTTGCAGTGAAAATATCATCATGGTTGTCCTTTGGCATATGGTCCAGGAAATCTCTCATCTGCTGCTTTCTTTTGAAGGTTCCCACTTTAGCAGTTACCATAACTGGTTCTTTCTTATCTACATTAATAAAAATTGTTCAAATACATTAGTTATGTAGCTTGGATTTAAAATCAATCAGTTATAATCAATGCTAGAGATACAAAATTCAGTCTCTCTCATCAGAGATGATTTCTTATAGCCCCTCTGAATTTCTATATAAATTTATGCTTTTAGAAGAAAATTTCTATAATACATTGTAATCAAAAGCTTACTCCAAAGCCTTAAACAGCCATTGCAAATATTACACATCAGCTACTTTATTAGCATTTTAACAGAATTACTCATGCATGTGGGTATCAAAGACAAAAGACACTGAGATTTATCACTTGCGTCAAGAAGCATAAAAGCACAGTTAACAAACAAAAGCTCTGCTGCACAGGTGCACAGACAGATTTAGCATTCCTGACACAAGGTTTGTGGCACACTAATTTTAGACTTAAGTGTATATAGTTCTATGAAGACTCTACCCCCACTCGCCTCACCTAAATGATGAGCTACAGATCCACCTGAAGGGAAGAAAGGACTTTGTTAACTTCTACGCTACAAGTTCTGTAGCTTCTGTTACGTAGGATGGACAAGAAGATCACAGTAGGTTTCCCTGTCCTTGAAGTCCAATAATTGAGTAAGCTAGATCATCTCTTTTGGACGGAGAAAACTTTGATTTTAAAGTTTTCAGTAAATGGAGACTGAAGCAAAATTTTAACCATTGGGAAAGATTACCAAAATTGCTTTCAGCTATAATTCTTGAAGACTTGAAGCTTCAACTTCCAAAGGCTGAGTGATGGCATACTTTTGTCAACTAGAAGAGTTGATTATCAAATAGCTTTCTTTCTCTAAGCGCTTATTGACTGATAAAGTCACTCTAACCCTCTCTTTGTTAGTTAAGTGGATTGAGTTTCTTGTGCCTTTCACCACAGGGCACGCTTGCTATCCTTAACTGAACTACTGACTTCAGAACTGGACAGAAAATAAGAGCAACAGTCACACCTCTGCCAAATATGAAAGAACGTAATTTCCCTGTTCCTGCTCCACCTTGCCCTTTGTGCATCCAAGCATCCCACTATCCTTCGGAGGTAGACAGCACTGCAAGAAGTTAACTATCTACTAGGCCTCCAAGAGCTTCTCAAAATATAGATAGCTAGTTTTCCTTAGGTGGTAAAGTCAGTTAATCTTTCCATATTACCAAAAACTAGAAAATTCTAAACTCTTTTCTCTTCCCGCTACTGCTTTTTTTCTCATTTATGACATCCTCCAAGCTCTGCAACACACCTCTGTACTACAGAAGGTAACTTCCTTCATTATAGGACTCTGTTCCAAACACTGTAAAGCATGGAATCAGTTTGTTTATTTCTAAGTAGATATAATATGCATAAGCATATATATTATATACGTATATAATATATAGACACATATACACACACACACGTACACATGCGTATCTCCACAGACACACACAATATGTATGCATATATATCTCATTACATAATGAGTACTGAATTTAAAATTATTTAAAGACAAAAAAGATACCCAGAACTGAGAGGTAAATACCTTTCTGTTCTGGTTTTCCTGACGCAGTCTTCTTTGTGGCGTGTGTTTTGGACCTGTTTGCCTGTTGCTCTTCCATGTATTTCTGGTGGCATTCTTCAGCCGAGCGCGACCCCACGGCCATCGCTACCTCCACCCAGAAACCATTCTTGTGCTTCGGAAAAGCAGTGACAGCCCTGCCAAGAGTACAACACCACAGTTTTCTTCATCCAGAAGAATCCATGCAGCGCTACCAAGCAAAACACCCAGAGACAAACTGTCCTTCTCGGAAAGGACACTGTACACTCTATGTAGAGAATCTTGTCTCTGGTGTGTTGTCCAGAGACTTTGAAATGTGCAAAAATTTGTATGAACAATTTATGCTAAAGTTGCATTTTCAAGAGAAATTTCTTCCTTATTTGCAGCAGTTATATATTTTTCACTGAGACACAAACTCACGCACTTTCAGGTCTCTAATCTAAAAGAAACAAAAACATTGTAATGTTATTAACGCCTATAGTAAATACTGCCCAGGAAGCTGGTTTAGGTAGTGCCACGCTACATGAATTAAACACTCATGTAGTTAGTGGCCCCTTTATGAAATTCAAACACCTTTTAATGTGTTTAATTCTGAAATACATACACACATTTTCCCTAACAACTTACTACGTTACTACCTCTGACTTTTGCTGTCTAAATCATAAATATCAATACTTTTACCATATTATTCATTTTCTCATGCTTTTTCAATTTTTTTTATGGGAACGTCTATCCCACTTTCAAAAAAATATGTATCCGTTTTTCTAAGGAAGGTAGAGAAGTACTGATCCACAAATTTCTGGCTATTTGTTCTGTTCCTCTCTATGCTATCCGTTGTTATCTCACAAAATACTTAAGTGTCTCCTTTATTTCACTTTTTTTTTAAATTTGTTAACAATTTTTTAAAAGGTAATTAGAACAAAGTAAACTTCCAAAAATAATGTGAAAGAGAATAAATCTGAAAATCGAAAGTCTGAAAAAATCCACATTTGAAAGATAGTCAGGTTTAGTTTGCTTCCTGATGTTCAAAGGAAGTTTTGCCCTGTAAACAAAAGGGTAATTACTTGCCTGTACAGCTTCTGTAATTCCTTTTCCGTCCACTCATCAGTGGTCCTTGGAAAAAATTCTAGAGTTTTCTGCACCTTTTCTCTTTCAGGTTCTCTTGATTTTGCTGCTGAAGATTTGGCAGTATGAGCAACTATACAATTTGTCTTTTTGCTAGATTTTTTTGATTTATTTTCTTTTACTTGAAATATCTCTTCACTTGTTTCAAGCTCACTTTCAGATTCAAACACATACTTTGGAGGGTTGATTCTGCTTCTTGTCCTCATCGCCCTACCAGGGAGAGAAGAACTACTAGACCCAGTAGTAGAAGGTGTTTTCTCTGCAAGCAAATCAGAAGAGCCATTATTACATTCAGACATGCTTGACCTTAACTGCAGACTGTGGGAGGCAGCAGAGTGTTTTACTGCCCTTTGTTCACAAAACACCTTGTTTGTATCCTCCTGTGACCTTCCTGTGTCAGAGGAAGTTTTGAAATTTTGAGTCTCTCTTTGCAATAAAGGTTTAGTTATCCTTTTGATAGACAGTGGGATATCTTCACTGGATTCCTCTTCCTCATCTTCACTCGATGATTCTTCCATTAAATTCTTGTCTTGTAAAAGTTGTTTAGCTGACCTTAAAGAGTACTTGCAAGCCTGCTTATATAGAGCCAAATCTCCACTTTCTGTCCCTTTCTTTTCCTTTGTCATTGCTGTGGTTCTGTTGCTATATTTTTGGTTGCTTAGTCTTTCAGTATTTAAGGGAGTCAGCTTAACAGAAACCTGTGCTTTAATTTTATTAATACTAGTTGCGCTCTCACTTTCATCATCATCATCCGAAATATAGTGTCTGTCCCCCTTGTTTCCAGTGGACTTGGTTTCTTTTTTGGAGCTTACTCTTTTTTCATTGTTTTTCCCTGAAAGAGATCACACCAAATACAATTATTATCAAATACAGTAATATAAGTCACTCGTGTTCTCAGGCAACTGGAGAATACCCTGCTGTTGGCTGCAGCGCATCCCACATTCACATGCATTAAGATCTGTGAACTCCTTTCTGTTGCATAGACTTTAGCCTGTAGAAAGGGACGGACGAGCAGCATGGCTCCAGCATGCAGCTCCCCCTACTCTGCAGAAGCCTCTCCCCTCAGTAACAGAATAATGGGGATCTACCGGGCATGGAGATAGTCTGCCAGAAAAGTTCAAGACTAAATAAAGGCCTACTTCTGCACTCATGCCCATACTCCTACATATCGGGAATGAAGTTCTTCAGGAACAAGAGGTGACGTTACACAGACGCAGAACAGCGTGACAGTGGACAGCCGTTCCTGCGCATGGCAATCAAGAAAACAGGAAAAATGCATTTACATATTAATACAAAGAACACGTTCCATGAAGCTAGTTATAAGGATTTAATTTGAGCCAACGTGCATCTGCTCAGAGCAAGCAGAGCGAGCAGTGGACAGGATTCTTCAAATAGAGGAGACTGCCTGTTCCTGCCTAGTTTGCGCTGCTGACAGCGCTTCCAGACTACTAGGAGAACTAGAATTATCAAGGCTACGAAAGGCAACATGAAAGTATTGAGCAGATACAAAATAAAACAGTAAACAGAAAAATGTTGCAAGAACGCTATGACTTGGAGATTGAGTAAAAATTCAGTTGAAAATGTTTTAACTTTATTTTGGGCTAACTTTCTAAAAGCTCTATTTGCGGCAGGGAAATTTACAGTTCTGTTTTTTATACTTGCATTGATCTCAGGGTGCTGTTGTTTCCCAAATTTTATTTCTAATGAAGGTTCTACAACTCTGTTAATATACTCTTTTGCCACACAGGCATTTCAATTCTTGTAATTCATCCAGCTTGAAAAGTGAAGCCACCCTGACAGCCAGACTGGTCAACTACGCTTCTTTTCTGGCTCTCTTAACTGACATGTAACAGCTTTGTTTAGAGATCCAAAGTACAAGAGTAGAAACTTCCAAAAAAGCACAATCTTTTCATTTTAATTTCTGCAAAGAAAATCTGCATATTCCTATTATGTAAATGAAGAGGGGTTTTACAAACATAATTTATATTCATAATTTATATTCTTTGTAAAACAAAGCATTAATACTGCTCTAATAATTATTTATAGGAAAAAAAAAATCAACTGACCATTACAGGTTTACTTAAATTGTTTTACGTTAACAGGAGATCACTATACTGCTCCAGCACCAAACTCATAATCCCATTAAATCCAGTCAATAACTTGTAAAATTACAGCATTTTTTACCTTTATTTTGGCTTTTTGTTTTTTCTTCCCCTGTCTTCATCGATTCCTTTCTGTTATTCTTCTGAGAGAAGGAACTGTTTTTCCTTTTGGATCGTTCATTAGTATACATCTTCAAAATAAAACAATTAATCTAAACTTCTGCTAGAGATTACATATCAAGCCTACTGACGCCAGTTCTGAAAAAGCCAAATGTTTACAGAATGGATAGATTTGAAAGTCATCTACATAGCCCAGTATGTACTACGTACTAGTCGATAAACATTGATGCTTATACATATGCATGTGACCAAAGCAGGTTAGCCAAATTCCCTTTAAATTTATATAATCTAAAAAGCCGGTTAAAATCTAAAGGCTTAGAACTGTGAGACAGCGGTAAACCAGACATAAATCTTCACTGCTGCAGCTGATCACAAGTCTTAGTCCACTCCCCGTTCCAAAACGGCAACTAATCTTAAGGAGAAGACAATAGTTACATCCACAACACTACAAATAAAATCTGTTTTCCTTCACTCATTATCAGAGTATTATCAGACTTGCTTGTCATAATAAATCAGGAATGGCAAACCCCAATCAAAACTGGAGTGATCTAGACAGATCAGATCACAGACTGTTTTAAGAAATTAGGAAATACTTGGTCCTAATGAATGTGAGGACCTATGCAGAAAGAGAAGAACAGTACGGGTAACAAGAAAACTCACCCGCAGCACTGACATCCCTTGTGTGATTAAATATGACAGTAGGGAATCAGCATTCCAGTGTTACAGAGTTTTACTTAGTTATCTCTGCGGCCCCCAACCAGTACCTGTGTGCAACTCCTTGCTTGATGTACTTATCTTTCCCTCATTTTTTCCACAAGCAATTTCCTATCAACCCCACCTTTCAGACAAAAACTGATAATACAAAGATTAAGGCTCGTTTTTTTTTTTTAATGTTTTAAAGAGTTCCTGCATCTTTAGGCACTTATAAGAACTGAACTGTTTCAGTCAGTTAAGTATGTACCCAAGATTATTCAAGATACTTATGGCAAAACAGGGACTTGAACATAAAAGCTCTAAGTTGCTAGGTTGTCCCAGGCCTCGAGTAACTGTCTTTGGAACTAGCCCAGGTAACAAACGTTTTCATCAAAGAGATCAAGGCATCTTAAATCTAGATCATAGGTTTTTTGTTTTTTAAATAGGCACCTCAAGAAACAAATTGAAACCACTAGGATAACAACACATAAAGGAATCTTACCATGCTCAAATAATCTTACCATGCTAAGGTTAGAGGGCCCACCTTCTTCTATAGTAACATTTAGTTTCTGATCAACAAATTCACGTTGTCCGCACCAGAAACTTAATGGCGGTTTAACAAGACGACCACTACGAGTGTAAATTCTGTTTTGGTCATTTGATACGGAATTGTGCTTTGGTGTCACATCTAGGGGAAAAAAAATAGTAACAAGAAATATAATTTTGCCCTAAATACTGTACTGAAAATTCATCTTTACAGACTTCCTAAGCATAGGAATAATACTGTTTATAAACCAAGATCATTTGCACTAACTGCATGGAAAGAGAAAACTTACCAGAAAGTAATAATGTACTTTTAAATGTGTTCAGGTTAGAAATAAGCATAGCTTAATATGACCGAAGTAATAATTTTCACAGCAATAAAGTTAATACTTCATGAAGCTTCAATTTGTACATGGTTTTAGAAGGTTATGAATCATCTAAAAATCATACCAAAAAGCAGAATGATACGAAAAGGTGTCACACTGAACAAATCCTCATGGTAATGAGGGAAAAACAGCTTTTTTTTTTTTTTTAGTATTATCAAGAAAATCTGATTACAGTATTAACAGATATTTTTATGAAATTTGACTCAAGTCCTGTTGGAGTCTATGACAAGATTATTAAAAAGAAGTCAAAGTTAAAATCAAAAGCAGTTAGGGTCCTTAAAGAAAACTAGTCTTGCACTACGACGCAAGAAAAAGACATGTTGATTATTAGGTTATGGCTTTACAACCACTTTCTTTGGAAATAAAGCCAATTTAAGGAATTTCTCATAACTCGTTCTGCTCATCCCCAATGCTCACTGTCACTTGTTATTCCTCAGTGGTGGCTGAAAAGCCGAGAAGTCATAAAATAAACTAGCTCAAGGAACTAATCGAAATTAAAACTAAGCCTGCCAAAAAAGGGGCACTATGGGAGAGGAATCCCAGGGATGGAGCGCTTAAGTCAAGTTTGCTGTCAGAATAAACACTTTGAAATCATGACCTTTCCACTACAATAGAACAAACCAGACTCCTGCCTCTTTCCCAGGGTTATTCCTCAGAAGAGCCACAAAACTGTTCTGCAGATACTGTACATCAGCAAACCAGAAAATAAATAAGCAGAAAGTCAATGCTCTTGATTAATGCAGTCTAAGTGAACACTTTAACAATATTGGTTTGTTACCTCTTCCATACAGCCTAATTAACAAGATAGGAACGAAACAGATAACTGATATTACATATCTTTTGCTAAGGAAAAGAGCTATCAAAAAAACTTCCAATTTTTATTTTCAGAGAAAAGGAGTATAAATACCCACAACTGGTTTTATCAGTTTTTGGTAATACTTCATAAGTTGTGTTTCTAGTTTCAGATTTCTTTCGGGCTCCTGCTGAATCTTTTGCATTTTTCGACACATCTGTATCCACTGAGTCATTTTCTTCATTTTCATCCTCGTCATTATTTTGTTTACGTTCCTTCCTAATGATTTGAAATTTTAAAAAAAGAAACAGTAAACATCTCAATCAATCCTCTTTTAATATGTCAGCTCACGTAAACTTGAAGTCTCAGCAAAAGCACAATTACATAGCACAGCTGTATTCACACTGACACAGCACAAACCACTAAACTAGCGAAGCCGTAAACTCTTCTGCTTGCCTTGAGACTACATAACTAGGTGAGGCGAAAACAAGCCAGTATAATGAATACTGGTAAATGTGTATCCTTTCAAACTGGTGACCAGGATTTGCCTAGAACATAGTTCTCGTACATGCATCTATAATCTTTATCCCCCTCTAATACCGTACACTTAAAAAGCAGAGTATCATTTAATTGATGCTAAAGAGGGCACTGCAGCGAAACAGAATCTCGAAAAATTACCGTCGTATTTCCTCAAGTAAATCCTCCACGTATTCCTTCCACTTTTTGGAAAACCCATACATAAATCTTTTGATGAAGCGATATGGCAATCCTGCATGAAACAAAAAAGTAGTGTTAACAACAGCTATACAATACTTTTATTCAGAAAGAGCGGAAAGAAGATAAAGCACAATCACAATTTTGTAGATACCACAGAAACTCACTACATCTTTAAACATGAGAGAGAGAGAGAGAGTTCTCCAGTTTGAGAGAATAGCATACTTAACAGAAAAGTGAACCAAGGAGCCATTAAAAACAAACTGTATTGGGAGACAGTATTCTAGTTTCCAGGGAACCAAGAGCAGGATATTCTCTAATTCATTTGGCTGGATTGGTGCGTGGCTTCACCACACAACAATGAAGGGAAGGCTGTGGAGCACTAGAAAACACTCAAGAATGTGAGGTTTTAGGGCTTAGGTTAGGTCTGAGCTGTTTGGGACTTGTTACACCAAGAAAAACCCACCAAGAAGAAAACATTATTTTGCTTTGATGCAGAAGCTACTCAATCCAGAGGACACAGACTGTTCAGGTGCAGTCAAAGCATCTGGCAACAATGTTGTAAACACGGAAGTTCTTCAAGTAGTACAGAGACAGCAGAATGACTTTAATTTTGTTGCTGAAACTGGAAAACCACCTTAAAAAAAATCTTGACACAAAGGTATACCATAATGTTCCATTGCGACTGATAAGGAAGAAAAGCATCACTTAAGTGCCAGGCTTTCTGAACAAGGTATTTGACATTTAACACTCTCATTGATATTAGGGTATCATGTAGCATTCTCACTGAGAGGAGGCAACTTGTATGGGTGCATGACCACAACAACGTTGAACCATTGCTTGCTTGCTCAGAACATCTAATGAACGAGCAGTGTTCAGCCTCTGACCCTCAGACCATTAGAGTCATGGACTACCACAACAGGGGTCTGAAACACGATAAAAAATAAGGTTAGAGGGCAGTCTATGTACACGAAATTGTAGGAGGTGATATATTTATTGGAAAGCGTTGAAGAAGTACATGAGTCAAAATCACAACTGTAACCTTTTAATCTTGGGAGCAGAAAGGCCGTTAACGTCAGCCTACCCCAAAGAGTTACAAAACCTGAGGTCCTCCAGGAGGATGGCTAAGGAGAAGGGCACTCTTCTGTTAGTCTGTTTAGTGCGCAACCCAAAGGTCCATCTAGCCGCTATCAGAAAAAGAACACTAACAGCAGAGACCAAAGAAGAATATAGAACTAAGGCAGGGATACAGGGATACTTCCCCCAAGCAGTCCCCCAGCCTCCAACAGTTGCATAGATGTTGATTTCTATGTATTTAATAACCCAAAAGGAATCGGTCTTCCAGGAAATTGCTCAGACTCCAACTGAACTCACGTAAAACTTTAGCATCCACAAGATCCTGCGCAAAGATTTCCACAAGTTAGATGCACATGGCATGAAAAGCTTTCCTTTTGTTTATTTTTAATTTTCCCTCTACTAAGTTTGTTTGATTTTTCTTTAATTGCTGTTAGAAGAGACAGTGCACAACTGATCTTTATTCACAATCCCCGTTCCCTTTGGAATTTTATAGACCTTCTACCCCACTTCCCCCCTGGTCTTCTGTTCTGCAGCCTGAAAAGTCTTTGCATATTTTAGCCTTGTCCTATGAAAGCCTTTTCATAACTTTAAAAACATCATCCTTCTCCAAACATATCCTACTTCTACATCCTTTTGAGAACACGGTCTCTTTTTGTGGGGAGCGAGGGGGGTCAGGGAGGGAGAAGGTAAGAGAGGAAGGCAGACAGAACAGCACCCAACATTCAAGATGTTTGTGTACCACAAGTTCTATGGTCAACAGCAGACGTTTGTTTTGTTCCTTTCATATTCATTCCCAACAGCCAAATTTGTTTTGCCTGCTACTGAGCATTGGAGCTGATATTTCAGTGGAAACATCCGCCCAACTCCACAGGTTTTACAGTGAACTGAGACTATCACCATCTTATATGTAAAATCAGGCTTTCCCCTACCACCACATGCATTACTTTACATTTATTTAGGCTGAATGTCATGTCATTTTAATGCTCACTCTGAAGGTCTTATGAGATGCTTTGTGGCCATCCTTCACCCTTATCGCCCAGAATAACTTAGCAACATCAGGCAGAAGTTGCTGCTTCCCTGCTCATGCTATTTTCCATATGGTTTGTAAATCTGCTGAACAGCCCACATCATTATGGGATTCCACTAGTAACGTCTCAACACTCGAGAAAACATATTTTTTATTCCCAGTGTTTTCTATTTTTACTTAAACCCATGGAAACTCCTCATTCTTACCACGTAACTACTTTGTTTCCTTAGCAATTTTCCCAAAAGCTTTTCTAGAAGCCCAAAGACTAGAGGCCCTTTCAAAGAAGTCGTACAGGTTTGAGAGGCATTACTTCCTCTATAGGAGCACTGTAGAGGCCTTCCCCCATACCTCAGTATCTATACATCTACTAATCACATACGTTATTACAGTTTCTATTGGTTTGCCTCCTATGTAGAGTTGCACCCAACTCTACATCCCTTAATTTCAAGTAAGTTGGGAAACATTCTCTTTTTAAAAGGCTTTGCATCAGTCACCTTTCAGGTCATAGGTATCTAAGCATTTTTTAGTGAGAGGTAACACACTAGTTATTTCAAACTTCAGTTTTTTTAAATGCCCTGGGAGTAGCATTTCATTCTAGAACATAGGTACTGTTCATTCTCTGTGGACTGTATAAAATACCTTACTATGATCAGAAGGGGCTCAGAGCAAAGCACAGCAAGTGCCATTACATAGATGCAGGTTGGAATGAATCAAGCACCCCAGTGGGTTTTTGTGTGACACATTCCTAACATGAGGCTGGTGCAATGACAACCAAAAAAGGCATCTTTGTAGGAACAGCATCTGTGCAGTTAAGTAGAATCCTTCTGATGCAGAGCCTTTACTGTCTCTTGTACAGATGGGTTTGATAGCCTACTTGGAGTCCCAGATTGCCCAAACCACTTTTTGTGATGAAGCAGAAGCAGGGAAGTACCTAGCCAGTGCTTTTACCACAACACATTTCATTAATTTTATCAGTGCTTTGAAGTGTAACTGCCGGCATCAGTATACACCAGTCAAATTATTTTTCATGGACAAGTACTTCGGTATGGATGTAGCTTTGTCCGCAAACTGATAGTGCCGCCGCTGACAGCCCAGCCATTCCTGACTGCCAGTTCCACTGCTTTGGGGAAATGCTCAGCTTAGATTTTCAATGTGGCACTTCTCTCTACCTACATTGGCTTGTCTTCATTTAGCTTCTCTTTTGACTTCACATATCAATATTGAATCTGTTCAGGGTATTTCCAGTTCCAAGGAAGCCATTATCTAGAATAAAGCAGTCTAGTCACCTTTCTGCGTACTCTAGAAGTAATTTACAGAACAAGCTACAAAGACTTCCATCATCACAGCACTTAGCGGTAAGTGCTAGTTTACATGAAACTTTCTTGTCAGTTACTCTTGAAAAGGACGACCCCTTAGGACAACTTCTGTCTAGAAGTCTAGACTGACTACTAGAGAGAATAACATGTGAGCTGCTTTTCCCAGCTCTGTAATGTTTTCCACATTGATCCTACAATAGGTTTGGGGGCTGGGAGATTTTCTGGGTGTTGGGAGGGGAGGAGAGGAGAAGCTGGGAACGATGCGTTGGTGTAAGTACTTAGGCTGTAAATCAGAGGAACTGACCCAAAAGAGTCCAATAACTCTTTGATTTTAGAAGCCTCTATAGTACTTGAATCATTCTGCTCAGAACAGAAGTACTGATTTCACTTTTCCTTCTCAGAACATTAACATAAAAACCAATACAAATATTTATTTAGTGGAGTAACTAATCAACAATTCAAAAAAGAATAGCCAAGTCAGGTGTTTAATCAGAATTCATCCTAGTACTGCAAGTGATAAGAAAAAATTAAACAAGGCCACAGCTGCATCCTGAGAGAGCAAAGAGTGCATACATGCCCCATACAAGCTAGTGAAATGAGTGCGATCCCGCACACAAGGCATACTTGTGATAAAGGAAGCAGTCATTCCATCTACGCCACAGATGATCTTCACATTTTCACATTCCTGGAGTTGCCCATGACTGCTAACATAGCAGCTCATTTCACATACTAGTGAACTATGACCGAGGATTTGTGTGAAGGATGAAAAACAACTGTAACACTTCAGGCAGGAAAAAGTGCGATTAGTGCCAGCCAGGAGAGTACAGCCTCCTCCTGCCTTCCAAAGCAATTGCAACATCAAGCACTGGAGTATTCTTTTATCATACAGCTGGCTTAGTCTGAGCTGCCTCAGTCTGAGCTGCCTCACTGACGATATAGATGGATATTGTTTCTCTGGCATTCTTCAGCAAACACGCTTATCTGGATCTCAGCACATTTGTTAACTTCACAGAAAACACACCACATGTTTTAAGGCCAGGATCAATGGGTCTCCCGTTCACTCAATATGGCCTGATTAACAGATCAGTAAGTGCATCCATTAACCTATTCAAAAGGTTATATTTTGGTCAAAAACATCTTACGGGGTACGGGGAGAGGAGAAGATGCTACCTATCGATTTTAAATCATCAAGAGATGGCAAACTTACTTATGTTAATTTGTTCCCCTCAACCTTGACGTTGAACGTTCACTGCATTTCTCATTTGGGTTTAGCTACTGGCCAGTAGGCACCACGTTCCTTCCAGCCCAACCATTCCTTCAGCCCCAGTATTCTTCCTCATGAAGGTACATAACTAGGGCAATGCACACATTAAAGGCACCATCAGTCTAGAAACCAGCTGTAAATTTTATGGTGGGCAAGAGGAAATTCTTTCTGAAAATGTAGTGAAAACTAATTCACAGTTCACGTGAAAACAGAAGATGAGAACTTTCGTGTGTAATACTTATTTTCTGTTAAAATTCCATACGCTTCAAAACAACCCGAAGCAAGAAGATACCACTTACTTCTACGGACCCCAAAGAGGGCTCAATTTACTAAACTATAAAGCATTGACTCGTTACAAGTCTGTCTTCAAATTGGAATTCCATGCAGTGTTGCTGAGCTAGTGGTTAATCACTGAATAGTAAGCTACAAATAGAATACGAACACCACAGTATTTTCAGTGATATACAAACAATCCCTATTTAAAGGTCTAAGTGTTATTTAAATGTGCTAACGCTAGAACACTGACTAAAAATTACATACAGCCAATCTTGGCAGAAAAAACAGTTTCTTTAAAAGAATGTACCCACTGCCATCTTTATGCACTGAAAGGTTCTCTCTGTGCCTGCACCATCCTAGAAACACCAGCTACAATTAATATTAGGTAGTATTTAAAAACCTGATGCTGGAGTCAGTTTTCAGTATGTGCTGCAGCCCCACTTAGTCCAATTGGCAGGATATTACAAACCATTCACTTGAACAGTACGTGCGACTTTTCAGAAAACAACCGTAACTCTAAAGCCCTTCTCAGTTTGCAATGTAATATTTAGAAGTGCCTTACCTTCTTTTCTCATTGAAGCAGAATCTATCTTTCCTTGTAGTAAGTAGATACTGCCAGATGATGTTTTAACTTGATTGTGTGCTACACGTTCTACAATTGCATTACTATGCCAAGATAGATCTTTCATATCTCTAAGAAAAGACAGATAACATGAAAAGAAATAAAACACTGCTTTCATAAAAGAGGGAAGAATTTACAAGTATACTAAAATTCCATATTGGACTGGCAGCATTACATATTTTATGAGTGATACAGGCAAGGGAATGAAGAATAAAGCCTCAAAAGCACTACAAAATGATGCCCCACTTCAGCGTTCATTGAAGCCAACAGAAATCTTTCCCCTTCCTGGAATGGGCGTTAGGCAAGATGAACATAATCGGAAAGACTTAACGTAGAAAAGAAATAATTCCCCCAAATCTGTAACTGTTTTAACTCTGAAAAATACACAAATTCTTTTTCCGTGCATTCAATAAGAATGACTTTCCAGTGTCTAAAAGGCTAGGGCGTGGGAGAGCAATTACATAGCAGTGAAGTACAGAGATGGAACGTTGAGAGTTTGTATCTCAGACATCAGCAATACTGGCTGGATGTACTAGATTTTTGTCTCATCTTGGACAATAAATATTCTGGGCTTATCTAGTACTTGGACAGGAGACAAAATGAACCTCTCAACTACTACAATAGTTTGTCACAGAACATTAGTTTTAACATCAGACTACAGAAATGAAATGGACGGAAAAACTCCATTCAGCTCACTATTGCAGTGATACTACTATCCAAGTTACAAAAGTACCATTACACAGGTCTAATGTATATTCCCCCCAGAATATTATATTTGCTTCTGATCCTCCTATTTAAAGACAAGAAGAACTGAAGGAGGAGTCTCCCGACAAACAAAAAATTAGAATAGTTAAAAAAAAAAAAATTAAGAGACTTATCCATGAGAAGAAAAAAAGAAAAGGACTCGAATACTAAAGTATAAAACACAGAAACTAGACAGTTTTTTAAGAATATACTTTTACAACAGATTAAGCTACAGAACAATATTGAAGACTGAAACTTTTATAACTTTTCACAAAATATTAACAGAAGTCCATTCAGAGAGTCTAGAAAGCAGATCATATATACTATGTGTAAGTAGCATATACCAGATACGTAGTGTCAAAAATGAAAACAGAACATGTTGCTAGTAGTAAAGGGAGGATAACAGTTGTTTTCAAAGAGCCATGAATCAAATGGCAATTCCTACTACAAATCCTACTGCAGGATAGGTAGTCTCTTGAAATCTTTCAGTAAGCGTACTGAATTACTTCCTTTTACAGTACTACTGCTGTTGAGTGAGGTTCTGGGTTACCTTTTCAGCAGATAAGCAACTATCTGTAACAGCAGGAAGAGAGCAGAATACGCTTCTCCTAGGCTATATTTTCACAATATCTTCAAGCAACCTTAGTGCAAACTGTTGCCAGAAGGGATAGTCCCATCCACAGCTACCATGTTCCCATCCTCTTCTTTTGTTTTGACATTTGTATTCAAATAGCTATAGGATCAGGAAAACAACCTGATGGAAAACATAACCAAAAAGAAATAGTTTTCAGCTGCATCAGCTCCTGCCATGGTTCACCAGGTGGCTGTAAGAGTTCTAGTGCCAGCACAAACGACGTGGCAGTCTGCCGTCTGTCCAGATCGACTAAAGCAACCACAGAACTCCAGTCCTGTAATTTTTGTGAAAGAAGAAGCAGAAGCTGATGAGAGCCCTAGTCAGCAACAGTTTGGGGGAGCAACTAAAAAGACACATTTGTCTCTGTTCCTCTTAAGCTCTTCGCTCTGAGTGTCTGAGGATTGGACCTCAAAATAATTAACTGGTAATTCCGTGTATGTACACGCTCAGTCTCTTACACAGGTGAAGGACTTCACCTCTTCCTAAATAAATAAGCTTCAACTATAACACCACTTTATATTTACAAAAGACTTAAGTCCCACGAAGGTGCAGCTCCATGGCCACCGAAGGCTGTTTAAATTACGACTACCACGGTTCCTTCCCCCTCAACCACACTCCTCAACCTCCAGCTGTTCAGTTTCTCATCCCCCCTTGCACCAGGTCTGCCAGTCTGCAGACCCTGAAGCGAATCAGTTCAGCTTGCCAAGTCAGCAGATAGACAGCTTAGCTTCAAAAAAATAATAAAATTGTAAGAGCTGTCAGTGCTGACACAAGGGCTAGGAGGTGAACAAATGGCCATGTTCCCTGGGGCTAGGAGAAGAAAGCAGCAGAACTGTGACAACCCTAACTTATATAATCCTATGGTCTTGTAGAATGATTTCTAATAGGTACCATGATATTCCAATAAACACAAGTCTCAAAACCACAGATATTCAATGAGATGAAGATGCTAAACTTTATAGCTTCTATAGTTCAGATTCTGAAAAAGACAACCAACATGTTTTACATTGCATTTAAACCTCAAATAATTTTCTCTTACTTCCGTTTTCCTTCAACACATACTGCAGTGTTACCGCTGATCACTTTAATTCTCCAACTCGTTAGGCAGATTTTTTTCTGTGATAAAAAAATTAAAGACATATCATTTTTTAAAAATTAGATTAAGCTACCGCCATGACATTATCAAAATAGAAATTAAAAATTCTTGCGTATCTTGAAAAAGTTTCCAGGCACAACCCTCCAGACCAGAGAAATTAAAAATAACTATTAAACACACTTATGGAGAAGCATAATGAAACCAGAAGCTAATGTGCAAGCGAAGTCACGAATTTAAATTATAAAAATGCTCCGAGTAATTTAATGTTGACTTTTAGAAGACGAAGTCATTGTCCAAGACTTCTAGCAAGTCTAAACCAAAGCAAAACCAAAAATCACTGCTGTGAGCTACAAGCAGCCTACAGGAAGTTTTAGCATATCTAATGCCCCTAGAATAGTAAGTTCTCCCACCTCTTTGTTTCCCTTGCCAGCCATTGTATCTGTATGAGATGTATCCAAAGGGACCTTAGAGCCTTCTTTTTGTTTTTGCTTCCTTGGTATGTGGACTTTAGGAGAAGAGAGCATAATACTACATAAGCATTGTGAGGGTTTTTGAGAATTAGTCTCCAGTAGCTTTTCTCCTCCACGAGCAGCTTGTTGATTACTTGTCCGCAACTGTCTTCTTTCTTGATGAACGTTAGTACATTTTGTTTCTCCATGTCCACACCTTTCTTCTAACTGATCCTCACTTTCAGAAGGGGGGGAATTTCCATTCACAGTATTAGTCATTGTATTTTGAGACATTTCATCATCAGCATCAATTGATTCCATGAGGAAATTATCCTGATTATCCTTATTAGCGGCCACATACTCTGTATTAGCATTGTTGAGCTGCTCAGTAAAAGCAGATTTGACTAATGGCTTTTCTGCAGCTGCGGAAGGAGGAACATTTTCCTTGACTGAGTTTGAAAACGTTGGATCTGCACATAAAAAACAAACCAACCCCAAAAAACACAGAGCAATTAAAGATACCGGAAGAACAGTAAAAATATACTTATACAATTTAATTCCACTTTAATATGAGTAAATTGCTATTGATTAACATACTATAACAACTCCAAAAAGACTGCCTATTTCAACTGTTAACAGTAACAGAAAGCCATTTCTCTGGATTTGTTTGAACTAGCTTTTCCCCATCACGAGTGCCATATTCCTGCTACCGAAGACTGTTTTAACCATTCCCCTTTCCCCAAAAACTATGCTAATGCACACAACTCCTATTAATACTAAAGCTTTGCCGTTCTTCCTACTCTTTTTTAAAATGAATCTTCCCCGAAGAGCAAAAAGCAGAATGTTTTCACAAAAAACCCCCCTAAGTCTAGAATATTTCCTTTTTCCCAGATGTCAATATTTGACTTCTAATCACGTTGCTGCTATACTGGGAGCTACAAGCACCGTTTTTTGAGCGTTCAGCTAATTAAAGTTCAGTTTTTAAAGTGGAACACCACTAAGATTTTGGCATGGATCTTTTTCTCTTCATTTGCCTATTACGGGCAGAATTATAGGAGGACAGAAGTGTTCACAAGGTTATCATCAAGGGGAAAACAAACAAACAAAGAAATACAAAGGAACTTCTCATGGAACTAAATCTTTTCACTTTATGTATTAAAAGCTAGGGGATAAAAAGAACCAGTAATAAGAGGTTTAGTATTTTTCCACCTAATTCCCATCCAAATACTAAAATGTTACATTTAGTCTCTAAAGAGCTCTTAATCACAACACCAGGAGCCCAGAGTTAAAAGACAGTCAGGGGACATAGTGTACTCAGAAGGACTAATTGCTTCAGGGTCAGCAGCCAATAGTCCTAATCCAAAGTTTAAACGTCTAATGTCATCTCCAGGTCCCAAGACAGACTTGCAGGTCTCTCGCTGTTTTCAGCTGTGCACAGACTACAGTGGAAGAGGAAGAATGATACTCTGACAAAGCACACAAGCTATTACAAAACGGAAACCCTCAACTCAAGGAAGTTTTGGAAATGTTATTAAGAGCAACATCAACTACCTTTCTGCTGCTGCAATTTCTGTTTCACGCGCAAGAAGAACTTATGGGGAGATTCCAGTACAAAAGGGTCTACTGCTAACAATTTAGCAGTTCTGTTTTGAGGAATCCGGGTGCAAGGTAATTCTGGAAAAAAAAAAAAAACCCTCTGAATTTGTGAAGAAAAATATTTATTTTCATGCAAGGGAAGAAAAAAAGCAAAATACATATTTCATAAGATACTAAACTCCAGTATACTAACTATTTGTTCAGGAAATATCTGTCCTGAGAAGGATGAGCAATAAGACCTTTCCCTTTTCACAGCAAACTAGCCATCATGTTGCATCAGCTGCTGCACATGAAAAAACACACCCTCAAAATCCCATGTATGTACACATGCCATGGTTGTAACCTAACCCAGAGGAGTCGGAAAGTATATACAAAAGGGATATTTCTTTGTATTAAGGTGTAACACCTAAGACTTTTGCTTACTGTGAAAACAGCAGCTTAATCTCGTTTTTATCATATCCAATAAGGATAGTAAAAGTAACAAGGGGTTTAAGTTGCAGCAAGGAGATTTAGGAAGACTTTTTAAAATCTAATCATAAAAGTAGGGAAATAAAATCTCCCTAATAGCATGTTCTTTCGAGAACAGACCAGATGCACCCCCAGTGAGAACAGCTAACTTGCAGCAGACACTGCTACTGGCCAGATAAAGCAGACGGACCACTCAGCTTACTTTTCTGCAATTACGCTTTAAAACAAACACTGACAAACCAGATAGGAACCTCCTGTAGAAAACTTTTATCCAGGTTTGGGTCAGGGGGTTGAGACCTAAGTACTGCACTTCAAAAAAAAGCCTCCCATCCAAATAGTTCATGACTATTTCTGCATCATACGATACACAGCAGGTGTTAGAAGTATAGGCTTTTTTTTTTTTTAAACTAAAATAAGACTAAATGTTCCATTCCCAATGCTGCAGCATCACAGGAATATATGCAGCAAGGAAGCATAACCTTTGTGATGAAATACTCAATATTTCCACGGGTCTCCCATTCTGGATGATTACAGTACGGGAACAGCTGGGCACCACCACAAGACACCTTCCCTCTGCAAAATACCTCTAATACCTTTACAGCTCTGTTGTAAGAGAAAAGGAACTTCTGGCCTACAGCAGCTAGCGTACCTTCCTTGGGAAGGGGCGCAGTGCTTGCAAGCTCGTGTTACATCGAGTAGTCAGAATTGGAAAATACATTGAAAAAGCTGTTGGAACAGGGAGGCAAGCGGATTTCCCTAGGGTCTCAAAAACAAGACAACGCTCCTGCCAACCTCTCCCCTTTCTACACTGGCTGCAGGAAGCAATGAGAGTCATCTCTTGCTTTACTTACAAAGCGTAATTCTCTGCTTTACCAACTGCTGCTAAGTGTCAATCCCATCCCCACACACAGCAAGAAAAATTAAAAGCCAGACTGAGTAAGAAAAGGAGAAAAATACCACGGGAGACATTCCTCTAAGGTAAAGGGCGGGGGGAATCAAAGTATGATACAAATATGCTTTAGCACAGAAAAAAACACCATCCAAACATGTTTTTTTTTTTTTTTTCCAATTCTGGACAGATCGGGGGGAGGGGGAGTTTTGCCACCAAGAATTTCCCATCTATGAACACACGCTGGAAAAGGGCCGCGATGAACGCGCAGTGCAACTCGCACCTAAACGGATACTAAAGATGAGGCGGGTGTTGTTCATGTGACAGTAAGTAAAGGGTTGCTGGGGGGGTACGGCGGCACAAACCTCTCTCCG